TTCTGTGTGGTTATTGGGAGATAAAATTATGAAAGTCATTTTCCAGAGAATGATGCTGTGAGCACACAGGTGTCTGTTGAATGAATGAACGAATTAATGAATGAACAAATGTGTGAATGTAACTTGTGTTAGCGTTACCCTACACCATCCTCTCTGCCCAGAGGTGACAATAGCAAAATAATTCAGTCCACAGGCTGTTCTTTTTTTTTACGGTAAATGTCAAAAAAAGTCCAGCTAAAAAATTCTACTTTGCTTGTAAAAATAAACAGAAACCTTATACCCCTGAGCCAAGTGGAAAATTTTGTCAGCAAAAATTTGTAGGGACAGGGAGTTTTTAAATTTATAAAGGCATTTAATAATTTTTCCAAAATTACTGAGAATAAATTTCAAATGTCTCACCACAAAAAAATGGTGAATAAGTGAGTTGGTAGATATGTTAATTCAGTTGACTTAATCATTCCACATTGTATACATATATCAAAGCATCACACTAGACTCCATAAATATATATTATTATGATTTGTCAATTACAAGTAATAATCAGAAAGAACGATAATTTCGTATGTACCCACCTGTGATAGAACTACAAAGTCATTAATTTGGATTCTATTAATTTGGCATTTGCAGTAACTTATGACTGTCCAACCAATTCTTCTCGAAAAAAAATGTTCATAGTAATTCTTTTCCCGATGGAGAGAACACTGAGTCCAAAGTTTAGAAGCTTAGGGTCAAATCCCAGACAATTAATTAGCTACATGAGGCTGGAAAAGTCACAGCCTTTGTGAATCTCTTCTGTAAAACTTCAGTTTCTGAAGAGCATAAAGTGAATAAAAGGACACCGTGAACTGTGGAGTGCTTTATAATGTATTTAGAGTCTTTCCTATAACCTAAATCAAACAGTTTATTAGCAGCTTTCTTCACCCCAAGATACATGCGACTCCCTCATGTGGCTTCAACTTCTGGGCTGAGCAATTGTTCGTAAATATGCTTATCATCAGACTGTATGAAATACAGAATTTGCGGGCAACACCTTTCTTTATCACATAGACCCTTAAAAACTAGAAAGCCCCAGGGACAGTGGTTTTTTTTGTTTGTTTGTTTTTGTTTTGTTTTTAGACAGAGTCTCGCTCTGTCGCCCAGGCTGGAGTGCAGTGGCGCGATCTCAGCTCACTGCAAGTTCCGCCTCCTGGGTTCACGCCATTCTCCTGCCTCAGCCTCCTGAGTAGCTGGGACTACAGGCGCCCGCCACCACGCCCGGCTAATTTTTTGTATTTTAGTAGAGACGAGGTTTCACCGTGTTAGCCAGGATGGTCCCGATCTCCTGACCTTGTGATCCATCCACCTCGGCCTCCCAAAGTGCCGGGATTACAGATGTGAGCCACTGCGCCTGGCCAGGGACAGTGTTTTTAAAAATGTGTCTAATTATCAAAATTACCAAGAAGATATACACACTCACAAGTCTGTGTGTGTATGTCTAGGTGTGTATATATGCAGGGATGCATGTACACATCTGTATGTGTATATATGTGTATGTATGTAAACATATACAACGTTGATATATAGATATACAATATACATATATTATACATGACCATATTGTATATATTATACATGAGTATATAATATATGCAATACACATGTATATTATACATGACAATAATGTATACATTATAGATATACATGATTACATTGTGCATATTATATATTATGCATGAGTATATAAAATATAAAAATGTGCATTATATGTATATGTGTATGTGTGTATATCTATGTATCTCTACCTCCCGATTCACTAGATTGTGGATGGGACTCAGGAATCTGGGTCTTTAAAGTTCCACATGTGATTCTGATTACCATCACATCACATGTGGGGGACCGCCCTCCTCACTTTTTAGTCCTGAAGAAACAGGCTCAGAGAGCTAGTGGCATGGCTAGGGTCACCAGCAGGTTAGAGGAGAAGCTGGGAATGGAGCCCAGTCCTCCTGATCCTGGCGCAGAGCAGGTTATCATAAACCACGCTGCCCACTGTCCACACTAACCTACTCAGAACTGAGCTCTAAAATTCCTGTCTGGCAGATAGTTAGCTAGTCAGACTAGATTCCTCTGTCATTGTCCCACGTCACCCCTTAAGGGATCAGGCAGAGCAACTGCTGCCTGCAGAGAGCCATGAGTCCTGCCAAGGTGGCCTCCAGAGCCCTGATGCATCACCTGTAGGCAGCATCCGAGTGCCCAGACTTCTGGGGCCTGCTCTGGGCTTCCTGGAGGCAGATGGGCATCATCGTAGCAGGTGTCTTTCTCCTTGGTGTATGAGCTTTCCACGGAGGTGTTATGTCTAAATCAGACTCCAACCTTCAAGAGCCTGTCTTTGGAAAGGCAATTGAAGGTCTTAAGCAGAGGAATAATAACCAAATATACCTGACCCAGGTCGTCTGGTCCATCCTCAAGTGGGGAACCAAAATGCAGGCAGGGAGATCTGGGGTGGGGGTGGGGGGGCGAGAAGGCTGTCTCAATGTCCTGGCAATACCCTGTTTCAATATCCTCCGTCAAGGGCGAGGTCTTCTTACAGCAGCCTGTGGGCCTAATCCAGCCAGCTGCTGGGTTTTGTCTGGCCCATTAAGTAGGAATGGTGAACACTCTCTATTGATTTGATGAGAGAGAGAATACTATCTCTGAACCCCAATGAAGTGAGATTTTTATCCCCTCTAAAAGAAGAATTCATTTTTTTCTCATTAGTTGAACTATATTTTTTTTGTCCTTGATTTTTAATAATATTGTCATATTTTAATTTTCATTAATAAAACAGTATGGAAATGTGCTTTCACTCTTTTTATGGAAGTAACTGTGGCCAGGCACCGTGGCTCATGCCTGCAATCCCAGCACTCTGGGAGGCTGAGGCAGGTGAATCACCTGATGTCAAGAGTTCAAGACCAGCCAGGCCAATGTGGTGAAACCCTGTCTCTACTAAAAATACAAAAATTAGCTGGGTGTGGTGGCAGGCACCTGTAATCCCAGATACTCAGGAGGCTGAGGCAGGAGAATCACTTGAACTCGGGCAGGGGAGGTTGCAGTGAGCTGAGACTGCACCATTGCACTCCAGCCTAGGTGACAGAGTGAGGCTCCATCTCAAAAAAAAAAAAAAAAAAAAGTAACTGCATAGTAGGCTTGATTTTGCCTCTTGGCCTACAACACCTGAAGTATGCACTACCTGGCTCTTTACCAAAAAGAGCTACTGAGCCTTGGTCTAGGTGTTGGTGGAGAAAATGGATGGGTTCAGATGTATTTTGGAGGGAGCCCCAGTAGGACTGTAATTTTAATGCTGACAGAACATAGACCATGCGGCAGGGTAGGACACAGGCCACTTGATCCTTAAGACAAGTCTAAGACTATGAGGGGCCATGATCCACCACCGTCATAGCAGGTGTCTTTCTTCTTGGTGTATGAGCTTTCCAAGGAAGTGTTGTGTCTAAATCAGACTCCAACGTTCAAGGTCTCAACCGTGTATGCGAAGGCAATGGAAGGTCTTACACAGAGGAATAACAACCAAATATACCTGACCCAGGTTGTCTGGTGCCAGGTGGAGGATGGACCACCTAGGAACCAGAATGGTGGTGATGAGGCCCCCACCATGGCCTAGAGCAGCCCTCCCCATGGTCCCCTCTGGACTGAGTCTCTGGGGCTCCTGCCATGCCCCAGATAAGCCCATAGGTCTCCTGTGTGCCAGCAGCCTGTTGACCAGAATAAGCAGTGCCTGGCACAGACCCTGGAGGCTTCATGGTACAGCCCATAAACAACGCCGTATTTATTGACAGATGACTATCATTGTCAAGTTTCCAGCCACCCCCCACCTTCCATAGGACCAGCAGGCTGGCTCCTGGCTGGCACCAAGAGTGAGCAGCTTGGGCATTTAATCAGGTTCAGGTAACAGGTAAGGACTGGTTCCCCAGCTAGGGAAAAACACAGTGAATATTTTGGATAGAGCCATGTGTGCCGCATCTTGCTGGAGCTTGCAGGCCCTTTGGAGGCGCTCAGACGGCTCTTAATTAATTGCTGGAGCCAAGTGGGGCAATCTTGTGAGCACTGTTGCTTTTGCTAATCTGATCCAGCCATACTCAGGGGAGGGTGAGGAGCTGGCCTTGGATTTAGGGGATGGATGGGGTGGGCTGGGACATGGGAGTAGCTCAGTGGCCTAGCCAAGACAGTTGGGACAAAGCTTGGAATAGCCAACCTATTTGTCAAGCAAATGGACAGGCCCTTTCTTCCACGTGGAGAAAGACCTTGTTTCAGCTCCCTGGCTTGGGGAGGAGAGACTCAGATTCGAATCCTAGCTCTACCACTAACTAGCTCTGGGACCATGAGGCAATTAATTGCTTTAAGCTTCACTGTCTTTTCTGTAAAATGCACAACAGTGATACTACCTTAAAGGATTGTGGTGGGAATCAAATGAGATGAGGATGGTGCCATGCACCATGGTCCCTGCAAGGCCACTGATCAGTGGGGCATGCCAACACTAGGGCCAGTGCTAACCCTAGGAGTCAGGGACAGCAGAAGAGATCTCAGGTGGGCACATGTTCCTAAGGGCAGAACGAGCCCTGGGCACCAGGGACATCATGCAGTGAAGATGCTGGAGGTGGAAATGGGGTTACAAGTGCCAGGGACCATCTACTTAACTCCTCTGCACTCATGCATGCAGCTTCTGCAGGGCTTGGCAGAGCTGGACCTGAAGGGGAAAGGCTTCTGCCCACCCAGCCATAGGTCCCCAGTGGATGCAAGGGGACCTTTCCCTTGGTTCTGGTCCTCAGTGGAGCCCATTTTGTTTCATTTGTCCCTGACCTGGCCTGTGCTCTGGAACACAGCCACCTGGAGAGTCAGAGTTGGCTGGATCTTTGGAAGGGCACAGTCACAGCTGCACCCGCCACTCCTTCCCGTCCCAGGCTTGATACTTCAGTAATCCTTGCTGCCTGGGCTTCCCTCATGGGCCCCAGGTCACACTGTCTTTCCTCCTATTCTGTTTGCTAAGATACTTTCTCTTCAAATCCTTCTCCTATAGAGAGGTTTCTATGAGCCATGGGATGGGATGGGGGTGGCCCTCTTCTGGGATCCAGAGCTCCGTGGAGAGCCCTCTGACTTGGGTCCTGACATCTTATGCAGAGCTTGTCTTCATCTTGCTTCCCTCCTCCATCAGTCCTCCAGACCTTGAGGACAGGCACTGAGTCTTACCACAGTGTTGAGGCTCCAAGATGGCGGTCATCTCCCAATAATATTTTCTAACCTGAGCTGATTTCTTTATGACGTAAGAATTGAAGCCACAAGAGGTTCTGTGACCTGCCTAAAGTCATATGCAAATTAACCAGATCTTGGCTCCAGTTGTCTACTTTGACTCAAGTGCTGTTTCCCTTAAACCACACAGCTCCTCAGGTCGGGTCAAGCATAACCTGGATCTCACCACATTCTTATTGGATTGAAAGATGTAATGTTAATGACGCAATAGACTCGGAATCAGCCAATCAGCAAATGCTCCTTGAACACCTTGATGTGGAAGGTACAGGTAGAGAAGGTAGTGATTTTCGCAAGTCTCTAACTCAGCTGTGCAGAAATATAGATTTGATTTTATTCTCTTATTTTTAACAGATTATACAATCATATTACAAAATGCAAAAACAATACAAAAAAGCTACAACTTTTTACATCTTATTTACATTTTATTAGTTTTTTATGAATCTTTGAAAAATATAACCAAAGTGAATATATGTTCTTAATTTTTCCTGTTTGCATAAAGTCCAGCCTATTGCATGCACTGTTTTGCACCTTGCTTTCTTTGTTTCCTTTCCGTACTTTTATGTAGAGAGCTTCTTCACTATTTTACAGCTGTAGAATATTCCATTATTGATTTAACCTGCCTCCTATTGGTGGACAATTTGTTGTTTTCAATCTTTCCTTATTATAAACAAAACTGCAGTGAATAACCACAGCCAATAGGAAGGCTGATAGGAAAAATCTCCAGAAAAGCAATCACTAAGGTAGAGGGCAAATACTTTTGTAAGTTTTATAGATGTTTTCAAATTTCCCTCCACAGGGCTGTGAGAATTTAGGCCTGCATTGGCCCTGGTGAGAGTTAGCCTACTGGCCACAGCCTCACCAGCAGTGTCAACTCAATTTCCATTCAGAGTAGTCGTCCTTCGACCTAGTGGTAGAAAAAATCTTAATGAATTTAGAGTAAATGCATTCATATACACTGGATTTTTCTTGGATACTTTAGGACTGAGCTCAGTGAGTTCAGGAGTTTGTCTTTCCTTTTTTCCCAGAAAAGCAGCTGCCTAAACCACAGCATCTGGTGTCAATATTCTCTGCCCTCTTTGGCTTTGGCCAAGACACCTGTGGTCCCAACATGGCCACTTCCAGGCAGTCAGCACATGGCTGTCTGTGTTTCACTCTTCTCCTTCCTCCTCCTCCTCCTTCTTTTTCTTCATCTTTTGGATCTCAGGCACACAGAATTGGTTTAATCATAAACTTTGGGTCATGCCAAACTCTCACCATGGCCCATTTCTATTTAGTTAATTATTTATAATAATGATGAAAATAATTAGTTATGTTATGAGATGCCTGTTGTTAAAGATGAACAAAGCCAGATAGTAGCTAAAGTGGCGAGGACAGATTTTAATCAGGAATAACTATTGCAATGGGGAGAAGAGTTCAGTGTGACTTGAACTTGGATTTGTACAGAGGTAACTGCACATTTTAAAGGGAGAATTAGGGAGCAGGGAGGGGCAAGCGGGAGCTCAGTAGAATCAGGAAAGTGAAAAATTACACAGAGTTCACCAGTGAAAATGCGACTAGGCCAGCTGTGTCTGCTGGCTGACAATTATCAAAGTTAGGATTCTCTCCTCCCACGGAGACTGGGAGGCAGAAGCCCTATCCTCAGGTGTTGGCTGGAACAAACAGTAGACTTTTTTTTTTGCTAGCCTTGAGTTTTCTCACGCAGGCACTTTGAGGAGGGTAGGGCCATTCGGGGGGTGTGGCCTTGGGCTGTTAGAAAAGACATTAGCATTTGCTCAAGTCTTCATTCCAAGGCTGAGGCCTAGTGGAGAGGAGGGCAAGGAGAAGGCTGGCTAAAGTTCCTTCAGAGAGACAGTCTTTGTCATGGTGGCCCTACTGAGGACCTCCAGTCATCAGCTCCCACCTCTGTTTCCTTCGTACCCTGACTGTGAGGCCCCGGACACACCCCTCTCAGGGAAAGAGGACAAGTTCTGGTGCTCTCTGAGGCTCTCTGGTGCTGTCTTGGCCATCTCTTCTCAGCCTTGCTGCCTTTTTTCCTCAACTGCTTTTGGGGGTGGGAGGGAAGGGAGCAATTATTTGAGGGCCCAGGCTGGGGAAGGGGTGAAGGAATTGGTGTGCTGGCAAAATGTCTAACAACTGGCTCTGATAGCAAGGGGAGAGGTGTGCAGAAAGGCCCGAATCTATAGCACTTGCTGATTTCAGGGACGTGAAAACTCCCATTAAGGTCAATTTCAGGTTACCAGCCTTAAGCAGTTCACAAAATTCCTGAAAATTTAACAATTGGCTGCCAGCATGGGCCAGTTCCAAGCTTACCTGTGGGGAAAACTTGTCTAGTCTCTAGGGAAAGGGTCACGGTCATCTAATTCCTGCGTGTGCTCTTTTCTACCCAGTGTCCTTGACCAGGGCTTGATATTCTTTGGAAGTTCAAAAACCTCCTCTTGCAAATTAAAAACCTTGACCCCGATGTGACACCCAGAGGCCTGACTTGGAATACCAAAGGCATAACTTTGACTCTGATCTCTCTCTCTCTCTCTTTTTTTCTTTTAGAGACAGGGTCTTGCCCTGTTGCCTAGGAGTGCAGTGGTGTGATCATAGCTCAAGTGATCCTCCCACTTCAGTCTTCTGAGTAGCTAGAGTGCTGGCTAAAAATAAAATATAAATAAATAAATAAATACATACATACAGACATACACTAAAAAATAAAATTAGCCAGCACACACCACCACACCTGGCTAATTTTAGTTTTAATATTTTTTTTTGTAGAGATGGGGGTCTCTGTATGTTGCTCAGGCTGATCTCAAACTTTTGGCCTCAAGTGATCCTCCTGTCTCAGCCTTGGGATTACAGGAGTGAGCCATTGCACCCAGCCCTGATCTCTGTATTCTTTGTAACCCCTCTCAGTAGTTAGCGTATACCACTGTAGCAATAAGGGAAGAGAGTTGTGGGGAGAATAAGGGAGTGTAGGGAAGACAGTGCCTCCACTCAAAAAGGAATTTTAATCTGCTTTGCTTCTGTCGTTTATGGGTGGCATATCACTGATGCCCCACAAAGATTTGTGGATTTAATATGTATCTAAAAGTCTTATCTTGCTACTCAAAGAAGTGAAAGCCATAGATCTTGCCCTCATGGAGCTTATAGTTGGTATACGATATAGAATGAATGATGTAATAAAAGGCAAGTGCCAAATTATGGCCCAGACAGTGAGTCTTGATGATTGTCTGAAGGATGGAGAGGCTGCCATGAGCCAGTGGTGCTTTGTGGAGAAGATGGGATTTGTACAGATCCTTGAAGGTTGCTGCTTCTGGAACAAGCTCAAGGAAACTAATGGAAAACGCACCATTCAGCTTTGACAGCATGTCATGGGTGTCTCACAGAAAGCTGGCAGAATTCTTCTTGCTAGGTCAAGAGACATACGTACAGTGTCACCAGGAAGCAAGCTTGATGGGTGAACTCCAAAGACCTTAGTTCCCCCAAACGATTTATGGCCCAAGTTTGAGAACAGTCACATTGAATCATCAATCAGTGAGTAGTGATGTGGGGCCTGCAAGATGTGTGAGGCTAACAGTTCCTATTCTGTAAGAGCTACCAGTCTGATCAGGAAGATCCTGACAGGCTCAGTGGACACATACGCGAGCAACCCCAGAGAAATTCAGTTGATCTGTTGTCCATCTCTGCATGGATCAGAGACTTAGGGAAAGAAAATATGTGGTGAGATTATGATGCAGACCTCCCAAAATGCCCCCCATAGACATCCTAGGATCATAGGATCAGAACTCAGCCCACCACCTTCTGCCTCACAGATGCTCAAACTTCTGTGTTCTTCATCTCAGGGCCTGATGGCACCATCTACCTGCAAGTTGAAAATTTAGCAGTAGCCCTAGCTCGCTGCATGGAGTGTAGTAGGCACTCAATCCATATTTCTTTTCACTCACTTATTCATTTACTCATTTATTAATGTATTCAATAAACAAAGAACCTACTCTGTAGGGAAGTGGTATAGAATATGGGCCAAGAACATGCATTCTGAAGAGATATTACTTCGGTTGGAGTCATGGCTCTGCCACTTACTAGCTGTGCAATTATGAACAAGCTACTTTTCTAAGGCTCGGCTGCTCTATTTGTAATATGAAAATAATAATATATCTCTTGACCAGGTGTGATTGCTCACATCTTCAATCACTGCATTTTGGGAGGCTGACGTAGGCAGGTCTCTTGAGCCCAGGAGTTTGAGATCAGCTTGGGCAACATAGCGAGACCCTGTCTCTAAAAAGAATACATATGTATGGGTATATATGTGTATATATGTGTGTCTTTATATAGACATATATTGTTTTATATGTCTATAAATATTTTAAAGAGGTTATTTCAAAGATCATTTAAATAAGATAATCCCTGCCGAGTGCTTCATAAAGAGCCAGGCACAGAGTTAGCACTTAATAGGCTTGCCCTTTATGAGGATTGCTAGCAGCCACCATCATTGTGACTGCTGTTGTCACTTAGCGGGAGTATGGCTAAATGCAGCCTTGCTCTTGTACCAGAGAAGTTCTGTTGTCTCTTTTCTGGGGGTGTGTGCCACCCTTACCAAAAATGTGTGGTCCCTTTAATAAAATCGTCTACTGGAAGTAGAAGCCACCAGGTAGACTTGAGCCTTGAGGAAACACAAAACAAAACTGAGCCCCTCTAAATCTCCCTTATAGATCTATGCATGGAGGCCTCTATCTGGATCCTTCTCAGTGTAGGGAATTCCTTACCTCAAATGCCCCTGTGACCCTGGGCTGCCCCAGTCCATGGCTGGGTTGACTTCAGTGGCTTTTGTACCCCATCCTCATTCCCAACAGCAGGATGCCAAAATATGATCCTAGATGCACTCTGGAAACATTTACCACTTGCCAAAGAGAAAGGAAGGATTCTAGCCTGTGTCTGACTAATTAATGACCTTGAATGAGCCAGTTCACCTGTAGGTGCCTCTGCTGCATTAGATAAACTCAGGTGCCCCTCTATGCCTTATTCTATGATCATCTGAAGGGCTTTTGGGTTGACCTCCATGGGGCAGATGACTCACCTCCTAAATGAAGTTGGTGGCTGGGAGGAAAGAGTAAAACCGACATAATTGAGCACAAGTTACTTTCAGGCACTCTGCTGGGCATTTTTTCCCCCATGTCATCTGATTTACCCCTCATAATAACCCTATGAGAGGTGTATTATTGATCCTATTTTGTAGATTGGGAAAGTGAGGTTTAGAACAATGAAGTACCTTATCCAAATTCATGGCAAGGTGTG